TTCTTGTCAGCTTTCACATCAAGAATAATAAAGGTATCATCAACATAACGAAAATAAGAATCAGCTTTTTCTATTACTTTTTTCAATGGACCATTTTCAATCTTGGCAAGAAAGAAATCTGCTAAAATTGGCCCCAACGGAGAACCCATGGCAATACCGTCGATTTGCCTGTAGTAAAGGTTGTTAAATATGAAATGTACATTCATAGTACATCTTAAAAGCAACTCTTTCAGACTACTAACCGGTATTCCGATGTCGATCTGTTTTTCTAGTATCTGTTGGCATATGAATTCCACAGTCTCCATAAGTGGTACATTGGTAAACAGTGATGCTACTAACATGGTTCACAATAATAAAATAAAGTCCATGAAAGTTACTCAGTTAAATAAGAAACAAAAGTAAATACTAATGACCAATCATATTTAGATAGGTCAAGTAGTCCATGGTAGGCGAAGATTGAAGTCTACTGTTTTTTGTACACACAGTTTAGGCTATGTGATTAATCCACCAAAGTGCTTCCATCACCTTCAATAACCAACCTGGAATTAGAGTGATGTGAAATAATTGTGAAACAGTCATTAAGTAATATTGATTTGTGACCTGACATTAATAAGTGTTTTGCAATGGATGATGATGCTGGATTTCTATTCAGATTAATCGTGTCGGGATTTTCGATATGACTTAGTAGCCATTTTGGAACATATTCTTTTCGACAACCACATTGGAACATTCTGTTGGTTCTACCTAGATAGGTGTTACCGCAACAACTACAGGTGAACTTGTAGATACAGTTTGAAGTAGAGTCCATAGAATTTCGTCCTTTAATCGTAGGAACAGGGATCGAAAATGTTCAGTAAGTGAGAGAGAAAAAGAGATGCGGTGGCGTAGAATGTGCGTTTGATGGCTGACCGAAGTCTTTGAGCTGTCAACTGCATAATTTGGTCACCCTTGAATGGTAGGTTAATGAAGATAGATAGCTTTCTTTGGTACAGAAGCTGTCTTTTCGAGATGTGGTTTTTCTTTACTATGACAAGTGATAAAGTTCTCCGGATAACCATTAGCTAATAAAACTGAATGTATATGTCGAAGCTCATCCATTAATGTATCACTCGAATAATGCTCCAAGTTCCATCTTCGTGTCATGTTCACTTCATTACAAGTAAACAAATTCAGAATACAGGAATGTTGTGTAACGCTTATCTCGTGCTACAATTTTCTATTGCATCACGATTCTCTGATAAAAGAATAAAACTTGTACATTGCGGTAGAGTGTAATTCCATTATGGGTAAAATTTTGTTTTGATAAAGTCTCACAGTGTTATACAGTAATGTTTACTGATAACCACGTTTCGAGCACAATTTGTTGCCAATCATAATCATATCAAGGCACTGCTCACACAACTTCCTCAATTCATTTATATGCTTCCATTATTTTTCACTTGATTTGATTGGTAGTAGTATTTTCCATATTTCGAGTATCAGTGATGATATATTCTTATTGCATGTGTTTGGTGTAGACTCGATGAACAAGGATTAGGTGATCAACCACGTCTCTCCCCACCTACATAGATTACTTTTTAGAATGTTAACCTTCTCCCACCCTATTGTGTGGTTGTGTGTTAATGCATGCATTGCAGTTGCTGAGCGTTTTTCTAAATTACTTATATTCTCGGGGTCAACCATTCTTACGTTCCGACTATCTGACTACCCCAACCTACTAGTTTGACTGACCTATGTAGTTGACCTCATTCATAGTCATCGCAGGGTATTTTGTAAATTATATTATTTTAAATCTTTAAATATTCCCATTTATAATATTAGAACAAGACATATAAGCGAACAATATTGTTTTCAATTAGATCTTCTTCAGGCTTTACTCTAATTTACATAGACTTGTATATATAAAATTTTAACCAATGACGGTGATTTAGTGGATCAAATAATAATCGTAATCATAATAATAATAATAATAATAATAATAATAATAATAGTAATAATATTGTGGTAAATGTTTTGAACGAAGTTAATAGCGATGATTATAATAATAACAAAATATTGTTAATAAGGCTTATATAGGTGATAAGAATAACAAAGTTAGTATATGCATATATGTAGACAATTCAATAAATAAATAAATTAGGTCAAATCAAATGGAACGATAATCAGAGTTTAAATAAATATCATAAAAGTACGAAGGAGAGGGATGATAAGAAAGGGTGGGAGGGTTTTGAATAGAATTCACCTAGGCCAAGGGAGAGACAAAGGTAGAACAAATTTCTTTTGTATACAAAGACTAGGATTGTTCTCTCGAATTCCCATAGCTTCGGCTAAGTGTAAAAGACGGGTTCTGATTCCGTTCGAAAGACTTGATGGAATGCGGTAAATAACTTTGAAAGCACTATTTTTGTCCACTTGGTGACCACTATCAATCAAATGAGCCAAAATAGAACTTCGTATGGACTTTATTTGACCTTTTCCGAACCATGAAGGAAGATGCTCTTTAATGCGTTTGTTAAGCTGTCTAGTTGTTCGGCCTATACAGCTTTCTCCACAGGAGCAACTAAATTTATAGATACACGTGGAAGTGGCACAACTAGGTAACTTATCTTTCACTTGAGCAATCAAAATTGGCCGGCTGGAAAATGACAAACAGATGACAAACATCAGAGATTATCGAGAGCGATAAAACGGACTTATACTGCCGCCACCCTCTGTTTTATTTAAACTCTGATTATCGTTCCATTTGATTTGACCTAATTTATTTATTTATTGAATTGTCTACATATATGCATATACTAACTTTGTTATTCTTATCACCTATATAAGCCTTATTAACAATATTTTGTTATTATTATAATCATCGCTATTAACTTCGTTCAAAACATTTACCACAATATTATTACTACTATTATTATTATTATTATTATTATGATTACGATTATTATTATTATTATGATTACGATTATTATTTGATCCACTAAATCACCGTCATTGGTTAAAATTTTATACATACAAGTCTATGTAAATTAGAGTAAAGCCTGAAGAAGATCTAATTGAAAACAATATTGTTCGCTTATATGTCTTGTTCTAATATTATATTATTTTGTCTAATTGGATCAACTGGGTCCTCTAAACATTACACCGTATCACCGTGTATTCTGCATCAAATAAATTTACTCTATAATGGGGAAACTCTGGTTCTCAGATCATTAACTTTCTTATATTCACACCTTTTCTTTCAATACTGTGCTAAGAATGATAAAGTATATGAACTGATATCGGTTACAAAACTATTCGGAAAACCATCAGGAAGTACTGAACAGTCATCACGTGCTTGTTGTCTGAGACTCTCCAGCAGTACGCAGGGTCTGGACCCTCTAACTTCCGGTCACGAGGCTACCAAGCTGATAAACTTGTAATGCACCTTCCTTCTAATACGCTGGTATATTTGTTGTCCTTAGTATCGATTGCTAGTTGCTGTTGAAGCGAAGGAATAGAGCATTGGTCTAAGGCGCAACTTAGAAATAATGAGCCACTTAACCGTTATGATAGCCTAGACAACGGGGGCACACCATCAGCCCTACACATATGTTAAACCGTAGCTCTACAGAATAAAAAATAGCGCTAGGGCACCGGCGTCATTTCTTCTTCTTATACTTTACCTTACTCCACTAACCATGTATATAGTGTCTCTCACTTGCCTTAACTTTTTTCTTTCCTTTCACAATTCTTTATTACTACCTTCAGTCTTCTTTGTTCATTCAATGTTATTGCACAAAGCACTTCTCTCAGCTCACTGCTTTCGTGCACCGAAGGTTACCGATATCCCACCAACCTTCTAAGGGGGGGAGATAACCTGTAGTGTACCCTGAACCTTTGGATTTTTGTTTTAACCCATTCATCCATCTTTTGGTTTCCGATATGACTCTACATACGTGGTTCGCTCCCTTGCGAACTCTTCGAGCTTACTACCCAGTCGAGGCATCCGACAAGTGGTATAACATCCTTATTTATTAAAAGCGATATTTCATTTGTGTGAAATATAACTACCTTCAAGACACACTTCCGGCCTCAAGTCTTTTTACTTCGATTTCGTCATTCAGTACTTACACGCTAGGTAGAGTACTGATAAGGTTAGTAAGCGGTGAAGTATTTAGTAAGTGCAGTTATTTGAGGTCTATCTTAATTATAACCCAAAAATTAGAATTTATCAAGCCGTTAGGACCCAACCCACTGGTCTATAAATTCCAACTTCTGTCATTTAACGCTATGGTGCGACAGGCACTAACGAATGTCATCGCTGGCGAATATTTTTCCTCACATCCTACCTGCTGTACACCACTACTCACGACTTCCTATTACAACCCAGGTAACTACCTACCTTAATAGAGTCAGTAGTTACTAATGATCATCACATTATCGTTCAAGTGTTGGTTTCACCATGAAGTCTGTTAGATACGCCCACTTATAATGACTGATATGATCACTGGGCTGTCATCAGGTGAAGAACAATCATGAGATACAAAATTAGCTGTTTATATCATTATTATATTATTATTATTGCTCCCTTGGGTTCCTAGTGGAACATAGGGCTTCAACTGCACGTCTCCATTTTCTTCTGTCTTCTGCAATAATTTTCGCCTGCATCCATGTTAATCCATCTTCTTTCAACTCCTCTTCACACGATCTCCTCCATGTCACCCTTGGACGTCCCACACGCCGCTTCCCTTTCGGGTTCCACTCGAGGGCTTGGCGCGCGATGTCACCCAGCGGTCTCCTCAGCGAGTGTCCGATCCATCTCCACTTTCTCCTGCATATTTGTTGGGCGATCGGTTCTTGCTTTGTTTGTTCCCATAATTCCTTGTTGGTGATTCTTTCCGGCCATCTGATCTTCAGTATTGAGCGAAGACAGTTGTTAATAAAGGTCTGCAGCCTTTTGGAAATATACAACATCATTTATTGAATAAACTTTCGACTTTTTTTCAATATCCCTATTTTAGCTATGGATATGTTATATCTTGGCTCAGTTGAAGTTGATCGTTTAGAAAATATGAATGCTGCAAGTCGTGGAATTGGAAAAATTCTTAGTCTAGCTGAATCGTATTCAGATGGTCTACCAAAACAATGTGAAGTACAAATTAAAGTTATTCCACATGAAGGAGTTACTTTCATGGAAAAATCAAGAAGAAGTCTATGGAAAAAAGTTATTAAACCAAGCAATCTACTTTGGTGTGGTATGGATCCAGAAAACAGAGAGTAAGTGTGTTGGTCTGATCAAACGATTTTATGTATGCTCTAAACTATTCAATGATATTCCGCGGCTTAAATAAACGGATGATTAGTATTCCCTCGCCGACCATGCACATGGTTCGGGGTTCGATCCTCGGCCAACGCACTCCTTTACCTCACTCAACCAGAAATAATCCTGGTAAAGAGGAAATGTCGGGCATGAGGCTAGCAACTCCATCCTGTAAAAATTAAGCACTGTTACAGAAACTTTAGGCCACTAGCTTGAGGCCCTATGTTCCACTGGGAACGTGAAGGAAAAAATGTATTCTCTTGGAAGCCGAATGGAATATGGGGCTTCCACAACACACCTTCACTTCATCCTATTCTTTCCTGTACTTTCTAGATGGCTACACGACTGGCCATAAGTCTTCACTTCCTGCTCACACGACCTCCTCCATATCATCCTCGGATGTTCACCGAACTCATTATTTTCCATTCACGTCCTACTCACGGTTCTGGTGTGTGTGTGTGACGTTATTTGAATTCTTTACCGTATACCCTATCAGTCTCCATTTCTTTCAGCATATCTGCTGAACGATAAGTTCTTAGAGTTCTTCTTCACTTATCCTTTTCTGCAAGGCTGTTTGATCTTCTGTCTGAAACAAATTGAATCGTTCGTGGAAGTCTGCTAATTGTTTGACATGCTACTCAAGACGCTCTTAGGGGAAGTAGTTGAAAACATTTTCCTTTGTATGCACAGCTTCGGTTTTTCTAAATGAATGGCTAATGCATCACCAGTGCAAATGGACCAAGGATTATTTCCCTGGGGAGGTTATTCTTCACTTTGTATATTACTTTGAAGAAGGTATTTTTCGTAATGGAATGACCAGTGCTGACAAAGTGTTAGATTATCGTTCTCTTTATAGAGCCACTACTACTTTTCTGTAGCTATACAGGAAAGTGTTATTGAACTGTTTTAAGCGGGAATTTTCGCCTTTCGATCCAGAGCCATCAACGGGCTTGATGATACCACTAATGGAGGAGATGTGGAAACGGAGCAAGGTACCTGCTGATTGGAAGAAAGGCTGCCTATTCAAACTGCCAAATGAGGGAGACTTAAATGAATTCAAGAATTGGCGTGGCATTATGATCCTGTCCATCCCAATTGCAATACCAAGCTGCACCACCCTGGAGAGAATCAAACGCGCCGAAATGAATGAGAAACTTCGACAGGAACAGGCTGGATTCAGGAGGAACAAGTCATGCAACGATCGATGCGCAACACTACGGGTCACCGCCGAACAGAGTTTGAAATGGCAGTCAACTGTCTATGTCAACTTCACTGACATTAAAATGGCCCTTGGCAGCATCGATCGAGAGGTGATTTGGCAACTACTTCGCTACCACAGGTTGCCGCCATTAATTATACATCTCATCCAACAGTTTTACGACAATCCTGCACGCCAAGTAATCCAAAACGGGAAACTCACGGTATCCTTCGAGGAAACTGAAGACGGGAGTAGGGCAAGACTGGCTGCTTAGTATCTCCAATGATTTCCCTAATCGCGAGAAGTAGACTGGATAATGTGGCAGACAGAGGCGGGCAACGAGGAGACAGGAATAAAATGGACCCATCCGAAAGACTTGGAGGACCTGTACTTCGTCGGTGGTATATGTCTGATTTCCCACAAACTGGAAGATATACAACCGAAAATCAACAAGTTGATAGAAGAAGCATTAAGGTTAGGAATTCACTTCAGGTGAACATATAGAAAACAGAGGTGATAAAGATTCCTGCCCACCAGAAACAGTAACAACAACAGACAACAATCAGCATAAATAGAAGAAATGTGACAGAAGAAATCTCCTTAACCTACCTACCTGGGGAGCATCGTTTCAACTACAGGAGGACGAAACTGATGGGAAATCAAAGTGAGGATCGATCCGGCAAGCAAAGCAAGCTTTCATTACTGTAGTAATTATTTGTAATCGTAATATTAGTATTTCGAGATGACCGAATTACGCGAATCCAACCAAAACACAGAGAGGGCAGAACTCAGGAATTTGTATTTAGCGGAATTATTATGCAATTCATATAAGAAACATATCAACAGTCAACAGTAAGTATTTAAACAATACAGAGATAGAAATTGTCAATCACCACAATTACTTTCAAGTCTCTGTGGAGATCAACACTCGGTACTCAGCATGAAAAATGAGATCCGGATTTTCAACTCCGATGTGAGGTCAGTGCTACTTACTATACGGATCAGAGACTTGGTGCACCATTAAAGGCACTTTGAACAAACTACAGGCTTTCATCAACAGCTGTCTTCGCTCAATACCACCCAACGTCAGATGGCCGGTCGGGAAAGATCAGGAACAGGCATTTCTGGCAATGAATGAAACTACCCAGCAGGAACCAATTGTGCAGTGATTATGCAGGAAGAATTGGAGGTGGATTGGCTATATTCCGAGAAAACAAACCGTTGAGTGGCATCACACTTCAGGTTATCGCTCAAGTGTGACCTGAATGGGAAGCGGCGAGTTCGTGGTCAGTGCGAGAGTGACGTCAAGGGGGTCAAGCGAAGAGGAGATAAAAGCATGTTGGCAGACGTGAAGTTAGGTGAAAAATTTGGCAGAGAACGGGGCGCAATCGTGACTTGCAGCTGAAGCCCTGCGTTTCTCCAAGAATTAAAGGAAACAACAATAATAATAACGAAAGATTTAAAATAGCAAATTCGACAAATAACAAATAATACCCGGTACCCTGGAGGCCCCAGTGAACGATCCTTCGTTTCTATAAATCATAAAGGCTAGATTCCAGCCTCAGTGAGAACAACATCAGCCATCCAGGATAAAGGTTTACCCGAATGATGAGTTCCAGATTGGAAGAAATATATACCTTTGGTTCTCTTGCCATCTACTACCAACTAAATAATACCTCACCTTCCGTAGTTATGATGTCTTTTGTTCAAGTGGACTTTAGTAATAAATTCAGCACAAATGGAGGGCTGCTTGAGACTATCTTATGATGTCCAGCTATGATGGTCGTCTCTTATACTGGACAGGTTATCATTCAAGCATACGGATAGAATGTAGTATTCTGTTACGCCCAACATTTTCAATTTTCGACATTACGTAGCTACCATTACTCACTATCGGTCCTCCGACTAGTTCATCCCGTGGTAACAAAAGCAGTGAAACTCTCTAAAATTATCGCGTATAAAAAACATGCCGTTCATAGTTGATGCGTTACATCTTAATTTAGATATCAAATACTACTAGTCAGGGTATGGTCCAGTAGCAACGTATGTGACTCCAGTCCGTGGTAAGACAACTTCAGACTACCTTAAGAGAGTGACTTGAATGGTAATATGCTCGCGTCACAACCTGGCACAATATCGAATACAACCTTTACTGAATTCATGGATGCCTACCGAGGAAATCTACCTTACAGTTAATTCCAAAAGTTACACAAATGCTTCTCTGACAGCTATTAAGTATCTCAAAGTGTACTTTTGCGTAGCTAGTGATTTATTGCAGTCATGTGATATCAATCGAAGTGAATCCTGTTTACAGGTCAGAATCTATACTATCTGAAGATTTGCTAGACAGAATTCGTTAAACAGGCACAGAACTAGCCCACTAATCATTCTCTTTAACGCAAACAATAGATTATTTTTTTAAACCTGAATTACTAAAATCAAAATACAAAAATTTGCTAGTAATTCTGATGATACTTTTAAAAATTTCATCATTCCAATTTGAACTTCATCTATATATACATTTTCTTTGTAGATTTAATGATGTAGAATTACGATCTAAGGGAATGTATGGTTCAAAGTAAGTCAGCCTCCAGTTCGTTTTTGTTGGTTGTACTCTATTACTGTTTATATATACACGACGACTATGAACCTACCCACGCGAAATATCAAGTGATGTTCTGACGAAATACAATACCATCTGATGTTTCGTAAAAGTTATGTAAATGTATATAATTGCACATGTGACCCAGATTATGACTGTTTAGTCTGTCTGGTGGATGTGATGAAGTGTGCATATCAAATGGTGTATGAATTCGATGGTAAATGAAGACAAAAAAGACACGTCTAGTTTGCTTCAGGACTAAAACTATTGCCTTCATAACTGTCAGTTTGGAGTCCTAACAGCTAGAAAAATGCTAACTAGTTCATCATTTCACTGATACCCTTTTTATCAAACGGCTGGATAATGCATCCATCTATCACCACACTAGCTACCCGGCTAAATCTCCTGTGGCGCCTAATAACACAGAGGTGGAAGAAACCCACCAGGCTTTTAATTATTGATAAGACCATCGGAGATAGTCTTGGACTAAGGGACTGTCATTGGCCTAAAAGGCAACGGTTAAAGGTTAAATGAGGGTTTGGATCAGGACCACAGAATTCAAACCATCGTCTACCCAATCATCAGTTCAGCACTCGGCTGGCCCAGTTATCAGATCCAAATCTTAACCAGATTACCATTCCGTCACTCTAAATAAGTCCATCTTTGAAACCAATCAAAGCATAACTGGTCAAAGGAAGTTTTTTCAGCCTTCGGATCACATCATTTATTAAAGCTGTATACTAGTTAACGATGGTTACTGTCTAGGAAACCAGTTAGTTACTTTACTTGAACGAGTCTGAGATCATTTCAAGCAGGCTTCAGTTACGTAAAACGCCCACCATTTTTGTGTAGTCATATATTCCCCAGACTTTTTGACCTGGCCCATCTAACCAGGTGGCTGCTTCAGCCATTGAAGCGAGAACATGAAACTTACGGTTGACCAGGTACGCATTTAATAGCGATAGGCTGAAGACAGTATAGAGACGCAGAATCACACCGCAATGCAACAGCCGCCCTATTTTTTTCTTTGAAACCTCGACTGTCGTAGTCCGATCTAGTGAGCATAAATAAACAAAATGACCGATGTAGGCGAAATGCCTGAGATTCATTTGAGTGGATGAACCCCTACATGTAAATAGAATTATATTCTTGAACCACAGGCTAATATTATCCGAGATGAAACTAAATAAACAATAAGTCATGTCACAGGATTAAGTGAGCAATTTTTAACTTTACAGAAGCACAACCTGATAAATCCTTCGGTTACGGTTAACAGGTGGGGCGTAGTTGGGCGATTAGCGTGAAACGAAGTACTTACAGCTAAGTATCGCTAATTCATGCGATAACCAGGTAGTATCATTGATGATTGTAGTGGAATAATGACCCGACGCACTGTAAGGTTTCTTAATTCTGTCAATTCAGTGTCAGACTAGTCATCGAGAGACCACTGCTTCGAATCCTGCTGCTACCGAAATTTTCCTTTCACCTCCAATCACGGCATGTAACATCAAAAGCACCAACTAATTTTTGGGTGTTTGGAAAATGATTTAAGCTGTTATCGCATATGTGTAATGAAGGCAAATAAAGAAGGAAAATCAACTTGTGATAAAGAAGGCTCCCTGAAGGGTGGGACGCTAAGATTCATGTTTTTAATGCACAAATACAGCCAGTATAAAACAACTAATTTATAATGTCGCCAGTGTGCGCAGCTAGGAAATCCCTATCTATTCAACCACATTTTCTTGTCTTGTGCGTCGGTGGCACAGCAATTAGGGCTCTCGCCGACCATGCACATGGTCCGGGGTTAGATCCCCTGCCGACACACACCTGATATGTATGGTCGGCCTGCGTAATTTGGGCTACCGTTATCACATGCTGAAAACTCCATACCTGCACTGAAAATACGGTATGCCATCAAGCTGTAATCAAAAAAATAATAATACCTAGATGTAAATCTAGTAAGGCTGTGTAATAAAATACATACTCGTCAACATAACTGAATGTTTTATTGATTTCGCCGCCTCCTCCCAATGAAATTCTGGAGTTGTCCAGAAAAAGTAACTACCCTCACTGGAGCCTTCCATCATACAGCTCGACACCTAAGCTTGTAGAGGGCTATTAAAATCATGAAAACGGTGCGACTTGAAATAATTTATTCTGTTTAACCGAACAGAGTATAGAATTGCGGTCAAATCTTTAACTTAGCTTCATCTACGATGGAAAGACCTTCAATAGGGTTGACCGAGAAGTCATTCGGAAACTGCTTCTGCACTGTAGATTGCCACAAACCTCAGCCAGCTTCATTCGTTAACTAAATCATGATGGTATCACATATCAAGCTTTTCAAGTGAATACAGGGGTAGGACAAGCCACCTTCTTACCTACCTACTCCTTGTGACCTATGTTTTGTATCTTTCCTTGAATTCCCCTTGACTTACATGACAACAGATGAACAATTTTCACTAAAGACTGTGTAACTTCCAGCTATTTTCATACGTAATATTTACAGACTTGGTTTGTACTGATCCCGGATTTCACTTATTTTGTCTCCTCTTTTATTTTCTGCTAGGTTATTCGCTATAGTTGCTCGTAAGCAACGCTTTTGGTTACATGAAAATGTGGTTTATGTGTTCTGTGAAGTAAATCACAATCAATCAGCAGCCCAGCTAACCAGATATGTGAATTCTGTATTCCCTTGTGTAAGAGATTAACTTAACCAAATTTACAAGTTTCATTGTTATTCGTTTTCATCAGTTTTTTGTTCTGTTTTCTTAGCTTTGTGAAATAATCTTCCTTTCATCTGAAGATTCTGTACTTCGCTGATATTTATTTAACACAAAATAAACAAGAAAGTAAAACAAGCCACAGGCAACTCCTTTATATTATACATATATATACATATTCGAAAATATAGAAATATCTTATATTTCTTTAATAAGTATATTTCAGACTTTATCGGAAGGAGAATGGGTTTCTTTTCTTGTTTAAGTGTTTCATTTCAAGGTTTATTTTGTTATGGCCAAATTCAAATATGCATGAAGTTAACGCTAGTGATATCCATTTGGTCAATAGTTGAGTTGTTATCGTTTCGACTTTTCTTTTCTAATATCGTTTATGCTAAATGCTTATACTAAATAAAAGTAACTGGAGTTTATATGATACAAGTCCAGTTATTTCCAATTGTCATATGTTTTCATCTAAGAAAGACAACACAAAACACTGACACATACATATACATGTATGTAAGTACAGGTCTGATAAAAGCACAATAATAAAAATGCTCCTTCATATCTTCATTAGTCACTTAAGACAAACGTCGTAACCACATATAATATACATTTAGTTGACCAACTAAATTTAATCTCCCGTTCTTTTCATATATTGAAATGTTTTTGTATTTTGTGGCATCTCTTTATCTTCTAAACAGTTATCTAATTTCCTCTACATTGTTGGAATCCAACCAACCATCTATCCAACTACTACATTTTCACCAGTTTTATTACCATTCTCTAAAGTTTCACACTCTTGAACATATTTTCTATTGTCCTTATGGATGGAACTTCTCCAGTATGCGCTTGATCTGAGAAAAACTTCTAATATGTCGCTTTGCGTAAACAATTCATTGAGTTTCAAATACTTTTTATTTCTTAAATGTGTTTATGACTATGACTAGTATTAATATGAAAATATTATTATCATTATTATTCTAAATATGTTGCGACCATCACACTAGCCCCATATTTATTTCTCTTCTCTTCATTTTTAAGAAAAATCCTACTGAAGTATACAACAATCTCTAACTTTATTCTTTGCCACAAAAATATTATTTACACCAATTGTTTGCTAAACTATGCGAGTTAAAGAAAACGCTGAATGTCCCTCTCTGTTTTTTATTTCTTTTTCTCCCTCTTCCAACTTCTCCTCCCCCCGCCTTAATTTAAATATAAGTTGTGGAGTTTCAATGATCTCTACGCATTTTGTTTTTGGTACAAAAAAATCACAAAGTGACGTATGTTTTAGAAGAAATAGTATTATAATATTTAAATTTATTGCTTGAATTTATAGCTTTTTTAATGAAATCTGTTCGAATGGCACAATTATTTATCCACTGAGTTCTTCCTTATTTATTTATTTATCATTTATCGATTGTGTTGAAAACAAAATTCTTACCTCTATGTTATATTCATATGCTATATTATACATACATATATATAATATATATATTTAATAAATATATTTAAGCACTTTTGACTTATGATAACAGATAAATTTCTTCATGCATATTGCAGAAAATAAGGACGTGCTGTCGACTAGAGCAGCGTCTTTTCATCCCTTTACCGTGGATGATTCACAAATGCTGTCAGTATCAAGGAATTGGTGTAGATGGGGTGCTGACCTCATCAGTGTGAAGTCTTATGGCAATCCTCCGCGTCACACTGCAGGAGAGCACCTGAACATACATTTGGAATACCCTGAAAATGTCCCTTGCCGAAGATATGTTTTCCCAGTGTTCATCATATCTACAGAGTTCATTTAGGACTGAAATAAATGAAGTAGAGTGGAGTAGCTGACTTGTACTTTAGTGACCAGTTAGTTGGCTTCTGAATGCTTCAAATATTTTAAACCTTAATCTAGTAACTACGCTTTCGAACAAACCCGGACGAAATTTGTTAATGATTGACGTGAAGTGTTCAGGTGTTTTGTCTTCGTTCTTTACTAGGTTGGACATACTGATAAATGTTTCCCTCGAAACTACCCTGAACTTCTATTATGTCTGAATGTTTTGCCCTTTGAAGCACGACTGGATGTTCTAATTTTGTTGTCTCCTATCAGCAACCAGGGCAACTGGATTAATAAGTGGTGTCGTGAGCCTGTTTCATCATAAGTGGCCAGGTATCGTACTCTGTACGAGTAAGTAAGAAAGCTATTTGTGAACCGTTTTAAATCATGAATACTGCTTGTATAGTATGTCATAAAGCGTCCTGATATGGTGGCAGTAAAATTTTCAAAGATGTTGAGCTGTGTGTATCCAAAAGTAAGTGGCTTCAAGTCCTGTTCAAATTAAGTCTTACTGTAGATAAATGCGACTTCCATTACAAGGCAAATAGGAGAGAAATGGCGAGCAGCAGAGCACCAGAGAGGAAAGAAATGTATGTGGAAATGAGTAGGACCTTAATGTTTGTACATATAGTTTGTATTTGCTGTACATTGCTGTCTAGTGAAAATATATTTTTATTTCTACTTAGCCTTTTTATGCGTCTATGCAACCAGTCTATTTAAATATATTGTGTAAAATATTTGCGGGAATCTTACGAGGAAAGTCACACTAACCAGACCTCGATAGTGTTAATGATGAAGACTGGCAAAGAAAATAGGAACTTCCAAAAAAACCGCATAGCATTAATAAAAACAGAAACGTTGACGATTCAGAAAAGTCATTCTTCATTGTTACGATTACCTGATGTCCAAACACAGAGAACGTAAAGTCTCAACAAAATGATGGGTGTTTTACAAAGGCTTGAATACAGACAAATAATGCATGCATCAGTCGAACACAAAAAACTAAACTTTCCAATTTGTCAAAGAATAAATAATGTGGTACAAGCAGTAATATAAACATATTTTATAGCATTTCACGTAATACAACAATTCGCTCATTTCAAACTATACTGTAATTGAACATGAATCCGTAAAACCGACGCGGGATAATAATTGTGTTGATATTGCTTAGCTCATAACTACACTGTTTAAAGACAAAGGGATTTTAAAGCTGTGGTGGGATTTGATTTCACTATCAAGATATCTTGACGGGTGGTATCGATCGACCCCCTCATGTAGTAAAGAATACAATTGGCCTCTTCTCGGCACCAACAGGGAAACACGGAACTTAAGCTATTAGAGTATCATTACGGCTGCACAGTTCAATGCTCCATATCCTAACTCCAAGTACGTCACTAGTGGAAACTCGTCAGATTTGGACGATATCATATTTGATGACTATTTATAGGTAGAAAACGCTCAGGTCAGGATTCATCTAGATAGTGGTGACTATGTGGTCGCAGTGCTTGGTTTGTTTCTTTGCCTTCGCATGAGGTGAGATGCTACACAAGTTTGGCCATGCTACTGCAGTGCCGAATACGCCAAAGTGAGAGAACTTTAATCTACCACAAAAAGGCCTCCAGACTGGGTTGAATTATCAACAGATGCAGATTCAGAAATCCCAAAGCGGTTACTCACATGGCGATCTCAAACACTTCCCTCGTAGTATATTAACAGCAGGAAGCATTTCTCAGTGTTAGAGAGAGGAATGAAGTGCACTATTTAAGCCAAACCTAAAGCCTAGCACAAATAGCCACTACATAGGAATAAGACTGCCCAATGAGTGCACTCTAATGTCATGGAGCAGTACAACGGAAAGATCAGGAGAGGTAACATAGTTTTCAGACAAATCTCGATAGAAAATCCCTGGCAAGCCCCAAAAGCTAATGCCAACTCAAAGAAAAGGAAGCCTACTAATCAAAGGGTAGGCATTTTGGTGACGCCAAACCATAGCATCGCGAATCGAAACAACCTAGCGAACGGATGAATGACCTTGAGTAACCAATCAGGTGAACCCGTATTATACAGGCGTACTTACGGACACCGTACACCTCACACGTTGCGAATTCGCTCCATATTTTGTTTTTGATTGCTATTTGGAGAACAAACTGACAACAAGATCGACAGAGAGTGAATGCGGAGGTGTCATGTATTTACAAAGATATACTGGAGGCATTGGTGGATTTCTTTACATGTGGTATGAGTGCCAAACCAGAAAGTCATTTTAAGAAGGTATCCCGTTCATTTTTAGTTTACACACTCAGTAGGTACTTTTTTGCCAAGTCTAAGTTACCTCTAACGAAAATTTTAATGTGACATAACTGAGCGCTCAAAAGAGTAGTGACGGAAGTAGTGTATGAATCAGAAAATTCAGAAGTGTCTGCAGTGTGACTGTGCCAGTACTGCGAAGAAATGACATAGTGGAAAAAGAACAGACTCACTGAGGTACTTGGCGGTAATGGCGTCATTTTTCATGTGGATGAGACAGTGTTAATAAGGAGAAAATGTAATCGAGGTAGATTCTGTGCAAATCAGCAGTGAGTGTTGGCGATATATGACACCACCTTCCACAAAAGATACACTGAGGCGACCTCTAATCGCAGTGCTAATGCTTAATTGTCTATTATCCAACGCTTAGCGATGCCTGAAACAACTATTCATACAGATGAATGGAGCATTTATAGTCAGCTAATAATCCCCAATCAGACAAATGTGTGAACAAAATGGGGACGTTTTGGCGAAAATATGGAAAAAGGGGGAAAAATCCGATTAAATGGGACAATGACATGAAACCATGGAAAATTTTACTGTACGAGGGAGGTTACTGATAAACTGTAAGTAGTTAAATTTTTATGTCGAAATTACGTTACCATTACTTCAACTGTTTTTCTTAATTTAATTACATCGACAGTTTGCTGTTGCATATTTTCACATCCTACAAGCAGAACACAGAAGAAAGTACTAACACTCAATGGATTGTCCCATTTTTCCCCTTTTTTAACCCAATTTTCCCCGTATATGTCGAAGTGGACCCTGGGCTATATTCATCACGTCGTCAACCATACAAGTGATTTCATCAATCCTGTCGATGGAACTCGCACTAATTCCATCAAAACTTTTGGAGTCACCTCAGAAAACGGATCAAATCTGTGAATGGATCAAGAAATGCAATGATATACAGTTATCTCGATGAGTTTATATGAGTTTACAGGGCTTGGTTTGACATAACTATGAGGACTTATTAGAAATTTGGAGGTTACTTTGGAACACATACGACAACGTTATTCTTTGTAACTGTTTTCAACATTCCATTACTTCTGTATAAACATTTAATTCAAATTATGCTCTGTTGCTATAGAGGCGTCTGATTGGTAAAATTTGTCGTTGTCAGGGTCATTTATCCGTTCGCTAGGTAGTTTAGGTTTGGGCTGCTATTGTTTGGAGTCACCAGGATTTTAAGGTGAAAATGGCTGATGTTTCATTAATGTGGAGATGGATGAACCATTCATCTGGGCTTTCGGCAGGCAGACAAACAACTGTGTGAATATTACCGCTATGAGCCGAGACTTTTGATTAATCAAACAAAGGTCTCCGTGAAACAGCTAAAACTCACAACAGAAAAGTCCCCAAATTCTGACAGTACCGTACTATTCTTTCTGAAATTGTGATGAAGATTTCCACAGGGTCTTACATGACCTGCCACAACACTCCATAGACTCAAGAAAACTGTAAGAGCAGTAGAAGACATCTATACTTTCCCCAGTCCTCAAGGCTGGAAAGTAAAGAGACACATTGAATTTTATCACTATTTTCAGTGGTGATGAATGCGTTGGAAACTTTGGCTAACGGCCACAAAAGGTAATGACGTTACTGGAACAACATGAAGCACAACATAGTTTCAGAAAAGGTTTATCCCGTGCAACAAATCCATCGTTTGCATCGAGTAACTGAACACGATGTGGAGATATGGTTATTCCAGTCCATGTGATCTTCGATTAACAAAAGAGTTCGGCAGCGTCAATCGTGATATTCTCCTTCACAAAACCGTCCAGGAATGTACTGTTGGCTCTATTCTCCCATGGTTGGAGGACTACCGAGACCGAGGAAATTTATGTGCTGAAATTAGTCACGTTCGACCACCTCAACAGAGCTCAGCTTCCGGAGTTACACAGAGTTCTATCTCCGAAGAGGCAATGTATTC